TCTCCATATCGTCTCAAGTGCAGACCTGCGGGAAATCATATGAATAGCAACATCAGTCCCCTTGTTAAAGCCAAGTATCAATTTCACCTTTGTCATCCTGCTGACCACGAACTCAGAATGGATTTTGATACTTCTGTGGCTACATTGAATGCAATGCAAAATCAAGTTGGGAAAAGTGGACACTGCAAGAATATGTTGTTTGAAGATGTGACTGGAACATTGGGGTGCGATGTATCAAGAACATTTTCTCTATGCAGGTAAGTGAGATTTGTGAAATACTTTGATATCAGCTTACTTTGATACGAGGATGATGCTATGCCTGATTCCCCTCATGGACAAGGTGCACCAAATGCTCCTCAGATGGACGAAGAAACTCATAACTGGCCCATTTCTGACCAGTTTAGCACTGAGTTCAATGGGTTAAAGTATAATTATCAAGCAATTCCCTTACCTCTGTTTCATGATGGACATCTCGTCGAACCATCTATGGCCAACAAGGTTATGAATGGAGCGATTGTGGAAGTGCATTTCTGCATTCACCAGTGGCATATTCAGCAATTCGACAGCTTTCAAGCCAATGTCGAGAGGATCGTTATTTTAAGGCCTGCGCCAAGGCATCATACATCAGCTTATAAATGGCCACATCCCAAGACTACACGTGATGATGAACCAAAGGTTAAAAAAACGCATCACAATGCAGAAGTGTCGTTGTCCAAGATCTGAAAAAAGGTAAGTGATATTATGATGTTGGATAGACTGGATGCTCAGCAGTTATTGTGATGTAGTCTCATTATCCTGTCTTTCTGGTTTCTGAGGCCTTGTATTTATATTTCGGTAAAATAGTGTGAGGTAGTCTCCCTATCTCATTTATCCAGTTTCTATAGTCTGCCTCTGTATTGATATTTCAGGGAAGCGATGTATCTCTATGGTTGAGGGTGTATGGAGAAAAATGACATTGTTGTTTGGTCTCGCTTGCCATTACACATTTTGCTCAACTCCGATAGACCTTGCTCCGCAAGGTAACAGAACATCATATCAGACTTTTGAACCACTTGCCTTGGCAGCCATCTTAGGTCTCTTATGTGGCGGCCCTTCTTCAGTCCCTTCGTCCTCCCTAGATTCGGACAAATGATGTTTACCTGGGATACTTGCAGTAACCTTAAGGTGAGCTGAACGTATCAATGTATCCAGAACATGGACTGACACAAAACAGCATTATCAGTGCCTACTTATTGTAAATGATGAAACGGTCTGGAAAGAAATTTGAAGAAACATATTCAAATTAAGATCTTGCTTCCCATGAAGGCATTTATCGTCCTGGGATGAAAATTTGCATAAGGTGTTCCCACAAATGAAAAATTCTCCAGAGCAAGGTTATAAGTTCACACAGCGAACCCCTAGTCTCCACAAGGTTGATCTTATCTGTCCCACAATGTCTCCACTGAAATATGACTCCCCATTTGAGTATCACATAGCTTGACTCTTGCTTGCAGTTTCCTTTTTCCTCCCTCGTCAGTCATGAACTCAGTTCAGGATAAACGCACGGTTCTGCTCACATGCCAAAGCATGCTGAGAAAGTTGTTTCTGGATCTTGTAATTGTTTCCACAACCGATATAGGTTGAAATATCCATGGGGTAGTGAAAATGGAGTCTGCGATGAAAACTCGAGAATTGAAAGCATGGGGAATCAACTCACAAATATGTTATGCCAATGAGTCGAAGCCCTCGATCTTCTGCAGCGATCAGGTCAAAACACAAAAAACAGCCTGAGGAAACGAGCTTATATATATCTGTGAGGAGTTATCCTTGTGAAAAAAGCAAAGTTAGTTCGCCATCTGTGGAGATAATAAGTTGAGAATCTCAGGAGTCACCTTGTCATTTGGAGGTGTAGTAGTTGCTAGTTAAGTGCATTGGATTTTAGAATTTGCACGGGCATCCTCAAACTCAAAGCCATGGGATATGAGACGAGAGGGCACGTGTGACATCGTGCGTCCAGTGTGTGACATTGGTCGTTCATAAACGTGACATTGGTCGTTCATAAATGTGACATAATAATGGTGTTCAAAGTAAATTTCACAGAGCTCGCTAAGCTCGGTAAAGCTTGGTAAAGCTCGGTAAACGTCAGTTAAATCGGTCTGAAAAACGTTAACACAAGTACGGCTCCGTTCGGCATCATGGTCGGACTTTGAAGAGAGACTTAGTGTTTGGGAAGGTGAAGAGGCGCAGATGCGCAGATGGATTACTGTACTAAGTACAAAATAAGCTACATATGAACTATCATAGTGACCGTTTCAGAGAGGATTGTAAGCCTGCGAACGTTCGTCTCTCATGACGAAATGCAAATTGTAAGACTGGACTGAGGGGCAGGTGGTACTAGTCGTGCGGATCGAGACTGAAAATGTAAGCTGAAAATGTGATGACAATGGTGAACACTTGTATCGCCGGGATCCATATATGAATGCACCTGAGTTGTGGCCTGCCCCGAGGGAGAGTAATTTGGAGGTAAGGGCAACGTAGCAGGGAACTACAAGGTGAGGGTCAAATTGACTGCGAAGGCAACAGAAAGAAGAAACATACGTCCAGCGGATCGCGAGGTTCATGGTTCCGAATAGGACGGAGTGCATTCGTGCGGGAGGAGGAAGGGAGAAGTTTGCGAAGGTAGTGAATGAAAGCGGGTCGCTGTGGGTCTTTTGTGAGTTTTGGCGGGATGCGGACAGGAACCTCAAACAATCTGCCTTTGTTTGAAACGGGTGAGCTGCATGGAGAGGAATAGACGTGAGAGCTGCAGTTGGACACAACTGGATTCGAGAGCGGCATGTTAGTTTGAGGACGTTGACGATGGGCAGCACTATGAGATCCGTCCTCGACTCCCCTGGTGGACGGCAAAGGAACATGATGAGGGTGGTGTGAGAGATGCCAAACGGGCACTAGAGTGTTGTCGTCGTTGATGGTGCCGGTGCTGCACCAGAGTGCTTGTTACCACAAAAGGAAAATTTAAACTCTGACCCCATATTTGGATTTCATTCACACAGAGTGGTAAGCTGATCGATAAGGATCGATAAGGATCGATAAGCATATTCATATTGGTGTCTCCTGAACCTCATCATGCCCCGTCTTTCCCTATGCAACCAGCTGCTTGATGAACTGGATGAGGCAGAATTAGCCTTAACCATTTCCAAGTACAAGCATGCACTTCATACTATGACTCTATCCAACTTTTCCGACTCTGATTCTGATTCTGACTTGGATATGGTCCTCACTCCTCCATCTCCTCTTACCCCACAATTATCTGACTATTCAGACTCGGACTCGGACTCAGACTCAGATGATGAAAGCACCCATGTTGCTGCACATTACGACCGCCTTCATGACACTATCACTTCCCTTCGTGATGAGGTCTCAAGGGCACGTGTCCTTCAAAAGCCAGATGCACCTCCTATGCGGGCCCCTCAAATTCACCTCCTTCATGATTTTGGGACATCTCGCACTCATCTCTTCCGGAAGAAACTACGTGTCAATCCAGAGATCTTTGACGATATCCTTGATCACATCTCAGGTCACCCCATCTTCACTAATCAGTCCAATAACCCCCAGCTTCCAGTTGCTATTCAACTAGCCATTTTTCTCAACCACGCTGGGCACTATGGCAATGCCATTTCCCCAGAAGATGTGGGTCAATGGGTAGGTGTTAGTGTGGGGTCAGTAATCAATTGCAGCAACCGTGTCATGATTGCCCTCCTTGATCTGCATGACACATTCATCCAATTTCCTACTCCTGACTCCGAAGATGCTGAGCGTGCTCAGCAATTTGTTGAGGCTAGGTCCTGCCCTGAGTGGAGAAATGGTATTTTTGCAATTGATGGTTCTGCCATTAATTTGTATGAAAAACCTGGTCTTTATGGTGAGGCATTTTATGACAGGAAGTCTAACTATTCCCTCAACTGTCAGGTATTTTTTTTCTCTTATTCTAACGGTCAGAAATTAATAAAAAATTCAGGCAATCATTATGCCCCATAACCTCCTCATAGTTGATTATTCACTGGGTAACCCTGGCAGTACACATGATGCTTATGCCTTCAAATCCACTCGTGTTTATCAGGAGCATGACACTCTTCTTCCAGAGGACCATTGGATTTGGGCAGATAGTGCCTACCCACTTGAGAAGTGGTGCATTGCCCCTTTCAAGAAGCCACGTAATGGGAGGTTGACCAGGGACCAGAAATCCTTCAATATTAACCTCTCTCGGGTATTTCTAATTTTTTTTGCTGATTTTTGCAATTTTCACTGATTTTTTATTCATATAGGTCCGTGTTCGTGTTGAACATGCATTTGCAGCTTTGAAAGGACGATTCCAGTCTCTCAAGGAACTTAGGCACCCACTTCAGAACCAGAAGGATCTTCAGGTCACTCTGCATTGGGTTAGGTGTTGCCTAATCCTTCATAATATGATCATCCACTTCGAGGAGATTCGCAAGAAATCCACACTTGTATGGGCTGTTCAAGAGGGGAACAATACTATATGCCATGAGGATGAAGGACCAGATGGTGATGAAGTAGTGGGTGATAGGTCTTATGGAGGCACTCCAGGTCAAGCTCACAGGGCAAGGCTGATGGATTTGTTGTTTGATAGCCCTCATTCACAAGCACACCATCAGGCAGATTGAGCAAACAAGCAGAGTAGCATTGTGTATAGCTAAACAAATGTACTACTAAATTTTACAACTAGTGATCAACTTGTGGCCATATGTGAGAACACTACATGCAAACATAACAAGACATATAACATCCAAGACATGTAAGAGCATAACGATGCGAGAACATAACAACAACGACACGAGAACACAACAACAACGACACGAGAATGTGATGATGACGATGACGACGCGAGAAGGTGATGATGATGACAACGACGATGCGAGAAGGTGATGATGACAACGACGATGCGAGAACATGATGATGATGGTGGCGCAAGAACGTGATGATGATGATGACACGAGAAGTCAGGTACCAGCAGGTTTGCCACCCTGGGCATTGAGCTGGGCCCACTGAATCCAGAGGCGTAGAACATCTGCTTCCAAGGCAAAAGCGGCGGCATCCGCTTCACGTAGGCGAATATCTACCTCTTTAGCCTCCTTCATGCGCTGATGGACTATGGCAGCATCTGCGCGCTCATCCATATGCTCCTCACGCATCAGATGATGCTCCTTGTCCTGGCGACTAGCGTTGAGCTTCACCATAAGGCGCTTGTTCTTCAGCTGATATAAGGTTAGCTTGTCAGAGTGAATACTTTCCAGGTCGTCGTTGAGTGCATCCATTTGCTCACGAATCTCCGTCCGGAGACGTTTGGAGACTGAACTTGCTGGCATCGTCGAGACAGATGTTTGCGCTGTTGGGGAGGACTGTTGCGATGACAGCTCGTGAGATGATGATGGCTTTCGAGAGTGCGACAACGAGCGCGACCCTGATGATGCCATAGAGCCCGATTTACTCTTTTCACGCATCATCACCTGGCTAACATGCTGGACGGAAGTGTGGGGGGGCACCTGTTGCGTATGAGAGGTAGTAGTAGGGGAGGGGGGGAAGGGGGCTCCTGGCGCTTCTTCCCAGCCCTGCGTCTTGGCAGGCTGTCCAGGCTGATAGTGTTGCTGTCGTCGTGAGTAATTTCATCCAGGGAATCCATATTAAGATCCTCCATCTCACCCGCAAGAGGGTTGTCATCGTAGATACCGTCAAAATTATAATCATCAGTAGGGGAATGAGCGACGGGAGAGTAAGTACCGTCGTGAGATGTAGCACCAGAGGGAAGCGGTGGGTAACGAAAAACAGGGGACCCAGCAGAACTGTTGGTGTGAGTGCTTGGGGGCGGTGGCACATAGTTCCATTGCGAAGGGCTACCACCACTGCCTCCAGGAGCAGGGGGAGTGTGACAAAAGGGGGAGGTAGGTGGTGCCGCGGCTGCAGCACCACCTGCATGAGCGTTTGGAGCAGGGGGAGTGTGATAAAATTGGGGGGAGGTAGGTGGTGCCGCGGCTGTGGCACCACCTGCATGAGCATTTGGAGGAAGGTAGTCATAAGTGGGTCCAGTTGACAACCCAGCAACGCCGCCAGCTGGAGCATTGGGGAGAGGCGTGTTGCCAAGTTGCATGGGAGAGCCGGGATCAGTGCTGGAGGAAGCGGGGGGACGAAGAGAGCCACCCAAAGGACGGGTGAGAGAAAAGAGATCACTTGTGTGATCAACGCCCGGCTTTGACGATGACGTTTTGGCGGAGAATGATGGATGGGAGCCCCAGATGGAGTAGAGCTGATCGTACTAGGGAAAGTCCTTCTCATATTTACCTACAAATTTAATTAGAAGAATTCATGTAGGGAGGAGAAGACTCACAATGCAAATTCACGCTTGTCTCTGAATCGATGGGCACGATGCCTGCACCCATGGACTCAAATTCAGCACGAATGTCACGAAATTTAGTGCGGAGGCTGTGATCAGCGATCAGCATTGATGATTATAAAAATAGGGGGGGATCACTTATGCCACGATGCGATTATATACAGAGTCCCGAAATTTGTTGGGATTCGAGGCGTAGAGCACCACATATTGAGGATCATCAGAGAAATAACCCTTGCAATGACAGCATGGATTTCATTTTTGTCTTTGCCTGAGGGGCAGCCCTCAGCTTCACAGTTGGCTGGATTCTTCTTTTCACTGGCGAACAGAATGCGGCAATCTGGTGGGTGTCCAACGAGGTAGTCAACCAGCCTATTGGTCCACTGGGGAACCGCTTGCCAGCTGATAGAGATAGTAGGAGAAGTAGTAGCTCTATCTTTACCTCCTCTGCCGCGTTTTCCCTTTCCCCGTGCAGGAGGAGCTGGTGGTGGCTCCATAAATTTCAGCCCGGTCTTGCAACGTCGCGGGGAGATGATTTGAGACTGTATCTGTAGTCGCGCAGAGCGACGAAGTCGTGGTCGTAGGGCAGGCATGTCTTTTGGGACTCCGATCGATGCCGGCCCAAGCCGTAGTGTTTGACAAATCTTATTTTTGACCGAGTTTACCGAGTTTTACAGAGCTTAGCGAGCTCTGTGAAATTTACTTTGAACGCCATTAATATCTGGGCGATCTGAACTTGATCTGAACTACTATTAATTATTGGCTGCTTTACTGTATCTAATTCCCCAGCCAGACGAAACTGCCGCACCCGAATCAAATACTGTGTATCAGGGCGACTACATAGACAAGTATCACTGATATCATCTGAAGAGGACAAATCACTCCATATACCTCAATGCTGGACATCAACAATGGCCACTACTAACTCGAACATTACCACAACCGCAACTGCAGAACCCCCGTCCGCAGCAACAGCGGTTATACAAAATGGTCTACAAATCCCAAAGGATGGTCTCCCTCTCATGCATTCAGGTTCGCTCGAGTTCTTTGATCGTGCTCAAACCAGCCTGTGAGTGAGTAATGCTCATCCAGCTTCCTGCAGCTCGCACGCCCCCCGTACTACCATGGCCAGATATTGGACACCTTGCCAAGTGGTCAGTTTCCTCATACAAATTTGGGTTTGGTGCAGAGTGCCTTAGAGATGGGGATCCCGATACGTTCTGGCAGTGAGCGTGATCTCATTCTGATGTGCTCGGCCTGACTGAGGAGGTCTTGTTCAGTTCTGATGGCCCCCAGCCTCATTTTATCACTGTGGAGTTCCCTCGCAAAGTGGCAATTCAGGTACAGTGACGATTTCGCATGTACCACCAGCGTTGACTGAAGTCAACTCAGAAAATCAGTATCTACCTTAGTTGGCCACAGGATGACTCATACACCCCATCAACTCTTGCTATCCGCGCAGGAACTGGTCCCAGCGACCTTCAAGATGTACGAGTCGCTACTCTGGAGAAACCGGACGGCTGGATAACGTTTGATGTTTCCTCAGAACCTGACGAAGATGGAAACTCATTGTGAATTCTTTTTGCAACACTGCTCGATCTTCGTTAACCCTTCTCTAGTAAACCTGTACATGCGTACGTGCTGCAAGTTATCGTGGTGCAGAACCACATGAGCGGAAAGGATACCCACATACGAGGGCTGCGTGTCCTTGGTCCTCAGGAGTATGCACCTCGGACCTATGTGCTGAGTGTGGCGCTGACACAAGATTTAGAGATGATGCCACTGATGGCGATCCTTTCCCCTGGAAGTCACAGGACTTCAAGATGTACGAAAGACTGCGGTGAACAGCATATATACGAAATTGTATCACTGAACATTCTTTCCATGGAAAGTGGGTTAGACTAGATCACCGTCCTTTATTGCTAAGGTCTGTGCCTTCTTTGACTTCCGCGCAACCATTGGCTAACTCTCCACGTGGAAATGTGTGGTCGATGACTGACATATGTTCAATTCTATGGGAATACAACAGAATAAAGATGTGATGCTGGTAAATGAAATGATGCATGGTGGGCTCCAAATAATCAATGACGATGAATGTCAAATATTAAATTGGCCAATCTCTGGGAGTGCCCATTTACTGAGAAGTTTTCAGAACCAACTCATTTGTCCTACAATAGGTGCTCAATATCGTATTTTAGTTCTTTATGCCGCTGTTGTACCTAGATTGCTACTCGCTAACATGTACTCTAAGAGTTAGCCAACTTCGCGAACATCTCTCGGGATTGCTCGAGAGTTGTACATTCCGTCTCCAATGTTTTCCTCTGTTGTGGTTAAGAATCAAAGTTTAGCAACGTTCTGGATTTGGCGGTCAAAAGAAAGCAACGTCACCTTCTCGTCATTTGTTATTTGCACGACAGACGGCACGGTCTCAGCGTAATCTGGCTGTGAGATGATCTTCATGATCTTTTCCAGATTGAGGAGCGCAAGCGTGAGTTTCTTGTCACACTTGGCTATCTCGGCATCAAGGTCAACAAGTCCCTTATAATAGAACGAGTTAGAGTATGTTCACAACACAAGGCTATTACACACATACCTTGACTAACACGTGGACTGTTATGGTGGAACTTATGACGGCTGACCCACACCCCGGGGGAAGGGCTTTCACGTCCTCGATGACGTTCACAGCGCTGCATCCCTTGATTAAGGTGATCATAGCTTGCGTCTGCAAGCGGAACAAATCAATCTCCTTGCCCGTCTGGGAATGAACAAATACTGGCAACATGTCAGTACTAACTGCAGTCAAAGTATAATAACTCACGTTGGATGTTGGACTGGAGGTTGTAAGATGCAGCAAGCGACCTAGCTGCGCGCACGGCAGCTAGAACTGTATCAAAATCTTTTTCCTCTTCGGAACTGACAAAGTCAGGGTCCTGCATCGATTCAGTAAAAGTAAGTTTGGACGGCAGATGCATCACCCACATTTATGGGGTAAGACGCGATCATGATGGAGGGGGTGGGGTCTGTCGGACGCCTTGGCAGTCGTTGCCATAGCTCCTCGGTAACAAAGGGCATAAACGGATGGAGTAGGCGCAAACCGTGATCCAGGCAAGTATACAATGTCTGTTGGGCTGACCTACGAGTCTGGAGGGGGACCGATGCGTCGGTCAAAGGTTTCATCGCCTCCTGTGAACAAAAATGAGATCGATACAAATTCAGATGCAAAGCAGTCGCACAATATAGACATCGCAAAGCTCGTATAACCAGAAATTATGAGCTGACGTGGTCGCAGCCATAAAATTGCGTTCTTGAAGCTGCGCGTTGATCTGTGTCGCAGCTATGTTGAGCTTGTGTAGGATCCAGCGTTCCACAAGACTTTCATTTCCGGTTGGCTTCAGAAGCAATGTAAACCAAAGAACTCATCATACAAGCGGCATACCTTTGCGGATGTCTCTGGCGAAAAACCGTCATCGAGTTTGAGCATTGCAAACTTCGTGGCATTGAAAATTTTGTTGCAGAACTTGCGGTATCCCTCCACTCGCAAGATTTCCAGGTTGATATCCCTGCCTAAAACGCAAACTCAGTTATGTGTAGTTCGCACCGTGATGATCACTTTACCGCCGCCTGAGTATGCACAGAGAGCGAACCGTAACCCATCCGTACCACATTCCGGAATGCCTTTCGGGAAATCCTTCTTCTGACCAGCGATCGCCTTGAGAATCTCCTTCTCGTCGAGATTACCTTCATACAATTTCTGGTGGAGTTGCTCAAGCGGCAGCCCATGGATGACGTCGATCGGGTCAATGACGTTACCGAGCGACTTGCTCATTTTGCGTCCATGAGCATCGCGAATCATCGCGTGGCAAAGTACTTCAGAAAATGGCATCTGACCGGTAAGATAGATGCCCATGAGAACCATACGCGCCACCCAGAAGAAAAGGATATCCCAGCCTGTTTCTAGGATACTAGCAGGGTAATACTGAGAGAAGTCGACAGTCTGTTGGTAGACGGTTAAAACCAGTCAGTTTACTACATATGAAACACCGTGCCTTTTCTGGCCATCCCAGGATTGAGAAGGGCCACAGCCCAGAAGAGAACCAAGTATCGAGGACATCATCATCTTGCTCAAGTGTGAAATTCTTCCCATTTGCAAGTATTTTCGCTCGCTCAGTTGCTTCTTCCACAGACCGACCTACAACCCAGTTCTTTCCATCGGTTCTCTACATTCAAGAGTAAGTGCGCAAGCATTTAACTGATCGTTGAGATACGCACGTCGATATCTTCTCCCTCAATTTGAACGAAATAGGCTGGGCATCGGTGACCCCACCATAATTGCCGTGAGATACACCAGTCCTGTATGTTTTCAAGCCAGCGATACCAGTCTGCTTCACTCTGCTTGGGACCAATCGAAAGTTCGCCTGCCCTCGTACGCTGCAATGATCATTGAAAGAAAGTCTAACGAGATATAGTGTGACCGACCTTGATTGCTTCTGCAGCAAGAGGTTGGCAATTTACCCACCATTGAGGCTTCAAGACAGGCTCAATGATGTCGCCTGATTTACTGTAAGAATACCTCGATTTCAGTCATCAATCGACTTAGAATCGACACAGGCGCGTACCTGCAAATAGGGATCTGCATGGAATTGTCCTTAGTCTCGACAAACAGGCCCAATTCTGTGAGCTTCTTTATGACCTCACGCCGAGCGTGGAAGCGTTTCATCCCCTGAATGATACATATTGCTTAGATTAAGGTGTAGTTTTCGCACACAGACGCACCTTGAATTGCTCTCCAGCATTGTCATTGAACGTTCCATCATCATTCAAAATATTGATAAAATCAAGTCCATGGCGGACACCAACCTCATAATCATTCGGATCATGAGCCGGCGTAATCTTCACTGCACCAGTTCCAAACTCTTTGTCTACATGTTCATCAAAGATAATGGGAAGACGCCTGTTCAGGAAGGGATGAATGGCGAACTTGCCATGAAGGTGCTACAAACATATTTCAATATTGATTGTGATTTTTATCGATCATGAATGTTACCTTGTATCGATCATCATCTTGATGTACTGCAATAGCTGTATCACCAAGCATTGTTTCCGGGCGGGTCGTAGCGACGATAATCCGCTCATCTATTGATGAAAATAAGAAAACGACGGCATAAATTTCAATTAGAACATACCTGATCCTTCGATGTGATATGCAAATGAGGTAATGACACCAAATTCGAATTTTTCCTTCGGGTCGTAGCCTGGGACGTTAAGTAAGGTACGGCCAAGGAGTTGTTTTTGGTCCACCTGTGCAACACAACTTGTGTCAGTTGCCAACGAATGGATTCTTTGACTCACCTCAAGGTTTGAGAGGGTAGTATTCAACTGAACGCACCAATTAACAAGTCGATTGGCGCGGTAGATGATGCCATCCTCGTGGAGCCGACAAAACGTCTCAGTAACAGCTTTTGATAACGACTGGATAACAGTCGATTAGATATGTAAGAGATACTCGAAATTACACCCACAGGACTCATGGTGAAGGCAACACGGTCCCAGTCACAACTTCCTCCAAGTCTCCTTAATTGATCGGTGATGCGTGCTTGGTAGCTAACACCAGGTAAGAGAATGTTCCCATTGAAAAGTAACCACGTACTCATTTTTCCACTCCATCACCTTGCCCAAAAACACCTCTCGACCGAGATCGTGTCGGGTCTTGCCTTCCGCTTTGTATAGCCGTTTTTCAACAACGGATTGTGTCGAAATTCCAGCATGATCAAAACCTGGGACAAAGAGGGTAGTCTTTCCGAGCATTCGATTCCTATCGTCACTGTGAGTATAACGATCATATCAGATACGGATTCATATTTACCAGCGTATCAAGCAATCCTGAATGGCGATAGTCAGTGCGTGACCGATATGCAGGCTCCCGGTGACGTTTGGTGGAGGCATCGGAACCACGAAGACACCCTCTGGTTTAGTATCTCCATTTTCCGTGGTCTGAGGTTTGAAGAAGCCTTGGGCCTCCCACCAATCGTACCAAGCAGACTCGACTGCGATAGGATTATACCCACTTGCCATCGGTTGAGACATATCTATACAGTGTCAAGAAATAAAAAAAAGTGTGAAGAGAAACGCACCTTTTTTCTCGCCCTTGGGAGTGGTGTTTACAAATGCAGGCTCCTGCTCTTTCTTCTCTTTGTCCGCCTTTGCCTTCTTTTCGCCAGCAGGAGTGTTAGTGGCTTGCTTGAGATGTTTAGCAGCAAGCTTCGCCTCTTTCTCTAGCCTCTTGGCCTCCTTTTTCGCTAGACACGACAGCCGATCAGATTGTCAAACTATCAGAGTAACAAAGGTCTGCTCACCTGCACTTTTCGAAGGACCATCAGACTCGGGGGTGACCAAGCCAGGATCATTCGGAGTTGTTGCCATTGCTAAAGGTCGAATAGAATGTGATCGGTGTATTGAACGAAAAGAAAGGTCTCTGACTTTCTGAGGGACTAGGTACCGATGCCTTGCTATAAACATCCACCTATAATCAGAATGACTCAAACAAGCTAATTCTTGATGAACATATTACGTAACAAAACGCTGTAAAGCATAATATTCGCCTGCTGCAATCGTGATTCTGAATCGCTCAGATCCTCATGCACATGTTTATAGCATGAGGGAGCTGAAGTGTTGATGAGTGAATTCGCATTCCCTCCCAACTTATATGAACTGATCGACAAGCGGCGCCCCGTTGAGTTTGAGTTCTTAGATGAGACGTAACCAAAAGCGAACACGTTGTTTTCAATGTGTTTGATGAAGAAATGGCAAAATCATGATTAAGAGGGATATGGGAGACATCTATGTATCCAGATCAAGAAGTCGTCAAGCCTACCACCGATCTCTGCCACCGCCATATTCGCCGTGACCACCACCACCGCCTCCACCGCCGCCACCATATCTGCCGCCTCCACCACGACCGCGGCCTCCGCCGCCATAACGACCTGGATGGCCAAATGAGCATACGAAACATATGGACGTGATAAAGACTTACTGCGACCTCCTCCTCCTCCACTGTACATGGCCATTTCCTCTAGTTGCTGTGGTACATCGGCCTTCGCCTCACGCAAGATGGATATCAACTCGCGAGCAGACTTCGAGTTATCGGTAGTGAAGTACGTGTATGAGGTACCTTTCATGCCGGCACGCTGAGAAAAGTTAGACCAAGAATTGGTGGGCTGAGTGAGAGCAACTTACTCCCGTACGGCCAATACGATGGATATAATCTTCACAGTTGTTTGGGAAGTCGTAGTTCTAAAGGGAAGTTAACAGCTGATCAGCAGCAATGGACCACTACAACACTCACAATTACATATCCGACATCCTTGACATCTGTGATGCCAGTAATGCAATGCAACCGCGTCACGTACAGAACAAGAGAATAACATAGGAACAGACAACATATAGCACATTGCACAATCAATAACATGACAACAATAAAGAGATACAAGCGCGTCCAACACAACAAGAAACAAAGATTGGACGACTTCATACAAACATCATTCATGGCACGTCACAAGATCGGGGGACGTGTAGCATGAACAAAGGGCATCGCGGTCCAGGAAGACAGGTACCAAGCGCGAAGCAGCGGACATATCGAGAGATATAGCCAGGAAGTCCGTGACGAGGGCTCCACATCCGGGACCATAGCACTTTGAATCCCTTTGGCCCTCACTGACGGGAGGACACAGGATGCTTTGGCGGATGGAACCTTGACGACTTGGAATCCTCTCGTGATCACGCGGTTCTGCTATAGCACGTCTCGCTCGAGAAGAAATTTATCCCCCAAGCCTGGCTGTAAGCACGGAGGAAGAGCAGTGTAAACATGACTCATCCCGTCTTGCTACACGCGTTAGTGAACACCAGAGTCACGAGCAAACACTACCCAGATACAAAAACGGGTCATTGCTACTTTAACCTGAGTGCTCGGAAAGCCCTCCCATTTGTAGGAGTCCCTGATGGAGCGCTTGCAAGAAATGGCACACGTACCTAAACCACGGGACGCAACGTCCGTGGCAATCAATATGGGTGAGCGACCCGCCTTGAATTCCCCGAGAACCCAATCACGTTCCCGCCTGTGGGAATATTGAATAGACATCGAGGGAGTGACAGATAAAACATACTGTTCTTTGTCGCCATGGATGGCGAGAGCTGGCCAGCCGTCTTGGCGAAGGTATTTGGTGATGTCGTCCGCAACGCGTTTCGTCCCGACAAATATAAGTACCTTAGCGTTCTCAGAGCTGATCTGATCAAGATGTCTGATCAGCTTAGCACGCTTCTCGAAGTCGCTGCAGACTTCGACAATCTGCTGAATGTTGTGGTTGGCAGTGAGTTCCATAGACCCAATGTTGACCTGAATCATGTCTTTTAAAAAGTCCTGTGAATAGTGAGATTAATCATGCAACCACAAAACATTGAATGTTTACATTTGCGAGTTTCTGCACATCCTTCGGCCACGTAGCACTAAACATCAGTGTCTGACGATCAGGGCGAATCTGAGATACAATCTTGCGTATCTGGGGCTCGAAACCCATGTCCAACATGCGATCGGCCTCATCCATGACTAAATATGTGACGCGACGAAGATTGGTCTTTGATGTCTCCAGCATATCGATGAGCCGTCCAGGAGTCGCGATCACAACCTCAACGCCACGTTGCAGGTCACGAATTTGAGGACCTTTGGGAGCGCCACCGTAAATGGCAGTGTTCCGGATGCGAGAGCTCGACCTATATACATCAGCAACAGCCAACACAGTGAGGTGACAAACATACCCAAACTTCGTACACTCCTGCTGAATTTGTACAGCAAGCTCACGGGTGGGCGCAAGGACAAGTGCGATCGGACCATCGCCTGGCGCAAGTAAAGGCTGACTAATTCCCGGTGAGTAAAGGATTAGAAAGTGAGATGGACACATACGCATTGATGTGAAGCATGGCAGGCAGAGCAAAGGAAATCGTTTTCCCACTCCCTGTTTGAGCAATCGCAACCACATCTCTGCCACTCAGTGCCATAGGCCATGCTTGACATTGAATGGGAGTTGGCGCGGCAAAGCCTTGTGCACGAATTGATGCCAAAATATATTCAGGAAACCCTGCCTCGTCAAAAGATGTGACAGGTCTGGGAACACCTCGTCCTTGAACCTTCAGGAAACCATCAGCGACTGTTGGCGTGCCACAAATTCTCACATACCTTTATTTCTTTGGTTTTCCGGAAGTCTTCCACCTCTCTGTCAGTCATAGCTGAAACACGCTTGTCCTCGACGTAGAAATTCTTCTCAAAACGCTCGAGTTTTTGCGACCCCCAATCAATCGTTCTCAGACCACCGCCCAAGCCGCCCATTTTGTCTTCATAACCGCCACCACCGCCCCATCCGCCGCCGCCGCCACCACCGTAGCCGCCGCCGCCGCCTCCACCATAACCGCCATAATTACCGTGACTCTGGACAAAGACATCAGCGAAATGCATACTTTCTCCAGTGAGAAGTTCTACCATAATGTTGTCTATAGCAAGAACCAGAGAATTAGAAAACAGGGATGTTGCAGGGATCCGAAAGCGTGGTGGTTAAAGAGCAAGGAACAAAGAGCTGGAAAAAATGCGTTTGATCTGGAGTAAATAAACAACAATATGCTTACGTGATATTCTTCTCAAAATTCTAACATAACTAAGTACACAAGATACCGGGGCAATACATAAGTCTGTGCTGGGTATATATGTGAAATGACGTGCATAAACAGCATGAAAATAATCATAGTCGAAGTTCAGACCTGTAGTAACTTCGATGGGCATAATAAATCAAGAAGTTGTGAGTAGCGTCACATATTCTGCATCCATCACATCACGATGCAGGCCCGAGGCTTGCGATGTAACCGACGTGAAGCCTTCTTGAGGGGTGGTTCATCTGGGTAGTGCATAAGCATCTGCTTGACAAGTTCTTGGAAGACATCGTTGATGTGCCAATCGCGTTTGGCTGATGTTTCGTAAAATGGTATCTTCCAAAGCGCAACCAGGCATTGTATCGTGCTTCTTGCCACTTCTCGTTCCGTGACGAGGTCGAGTTTTGTCCCAACAACAACGATAGGAACATCCTGCGTATAATGGTAGTCGCTGTATTCGGTAATAATCAATGGAACTTACGCTGTCCATTCCCTTCACTCGGTGTATCTGCTGTCGAAGATTGTCCAGCTCCCTAAGACTTGCTTCTTGTGTGAGGCTACAGTGACATCAGTAGGTCAGAAATGAATATAGCCATTTCTTGTGATGCTTACCTGAAGACTAACACGAATCCTTGGCCAGACTGTAGAGACCTGCTGTGAGTTTGATACCATACATCCCAAAATCATCAAGATTTACTTTGATATAAAGTTCTTTCAGAGAAGTGAATTGCTCAGCACCAGCAGTATCCAACACATCTAGCTGCAAGGAGACATATAGTCAGAAACGACTTTAACAAAAGGGTGGGGGAAGTAGGAACACACGGGATCTTACCGAAGTCTTTACACCATCAATATCGAGGATGCGCCGATAAGCTTCTGCAAAAACGATGTAGTAAGCCCCTCACGTCACATTGAAACGGATTATCACTGAAGATGCACCTTCGATCGTGGGGTCATAGTTCTCCAGGAAGACATCTTGAACAAATCGCACCGTCAACGCAGACTTCCCTACTCCTCCGGCTACGACACATGAAATAAGTAGTAGTCACAAATGAACGAATAACATACCTCCTAGGACGACGACGTTGAAGTGCCTCATGTTTTGAGAGGTGGGATGAGATAAGGAGCTAAGGGATGCAAGCGCATTGCGCAAGTGATGCAACCTGTGCCAGTGTGTGGGAAGTAATGGAAAGCATGCACACTAAAATAGTTTCTCAGCGGCTGCAGGGACTGAGATACGAGAATCGGGAGAGTGAGAGAAGCGAGAACGCGGCAGCCGAGTGTAGTTAGGAACCATAAAAATTAATGAGATCAATGTTAATATCGATGTACTTCGGTAGGCTCTTCGGAGTAAAAGTCCATCAGCAGTCGTGCCCTAAAAATTTCAACATGTGAAGCATGTGCAACGGAAGCAGAGTGACAACCGGTTGATCTATTTCAATTGGCTTACCATTAATTGAATAACACGACAACCTAGTCTATAAACTAGGCATATGTGTTCTTCCAAAGTTGTTATATCGTATAATACAATACAATGATAATTATTTCGAAACGAAGGAGTGACATATACGAGGCAAGAGCGCTTGTGCAAGAGGAATGAGGGGTAAGAGAGTGCAGTTCAACGTGGCAAGAAAATAGATGATGCGATAAGAATTATGGAGATATACATAATTTTGGACTGGATGGGGTTTGCCCATCATAAAATTATGTCGGCCAGCCACCTGCGATCCTAGCAGCACCAAAACCAACACGCCCCAGAATATTCCATACAGCAGAAGTGCCATCATAACCGAAGCCTTCCCCGGGTCCTTGCATGCTGTTAAAACTCGACCAGGCAGCGCGGTCGTATATTGTTGGGCCACCAACAGCTGAATATTGCGCCCCGATAGCTGGCAGACGCGAAGTCATGCAGAGAAATACCAGTGCCATAGCCCCAGCACTGATGAGTGCCTGCCGAGCAGCTCCAGCAAGCCAAGCGTCGCCCTCCTCACCACCTTCGTTTCCGCCCTTGCCGATAACATAGGTATTGTAGATTTTGTAGAAACGGTTCTGGCGGCGTGGCTGACGCTTAGTCGTCGAGCAGGCGATTAGCTCATCTATCATCTCGCATTCCACGCCAAGTTCCTCCTTCAGCGCTTTCCACTCCTCGACGGCGTCTGCTGAGATTCCTCCAGGAATACCACGTATTGGTATGGTAATACCTTTGTGCCGTTCTATTAATGCATTGTTGACTTGCTCGAGCTCGGTCACGAAGTTGTAGGAAGGAGGTGCATCGTTCAGGTGAGGAGCGTCCAGGTGCCCCTTGGGCGTGGGAGGGAGGACAGTCGACGATGAGGAAGCGAGTGCCTCGTCGTCTTCTGGGGTGACCTGCGGTGAGACCGACCGAGAAATTTCCGACTCTGGCTCATCTGTTTGGATTTCGATGCTTGATGTGATCCGTGGCAATTCTGGATCGGTTTGGACTGCAATTATACCACGGGGGACTTCTTCCGTTTGAATGGAGGACGAGGAAGTTAGAACCTTTGGCTCTGGATGCGTCTGCACTGCACACGTTGTTGTATGCTCCGCAGCGTCATGTTGCGTGAATGTATCAATGTACTCCTTGGTTTCTGAGAAAGTGACGATCTCGGCTTTGTTAATACGGCCAACTTTCTGTTTCGGGTGTCAGCTGTGAGGCGCAATTGTGAAGATTACTTACCCTCTTCTTCCGAGTTATGATGGTTTGAATAACGTCCTCCTCCTCACCCTCTGTATCTTCATTTATATCCAGCTCTAATTCATCACTATCTCCCTCATCCTCAAGTCCATCATCCTCGCCGCCCCAACTTTCGCCCAACTTTCCCATGAGTTCAGCACCCAGACTCTTGCTCATAGTGTTCGCCACACTAGAGTGTCCGCTTCCTGCAGCAGCGTTTGTTGCAGCACTGCGCATCTCGTCCATATCGAATCGCATACGGTCGATCGTTTCCTTGAGCATGAGGTTTTCTTGCTTCTGTTCATCGAGCTGGGCATGGGCTTGTTGCGCAATGGCTAGCTCCTCTTCAAGATGTGCGAGGCGATCTTCATAGGATGACGCTTCTTTGGTCCACTTCACAGCTTCGAGTGACTGGAGCGCGGCAGCATCTCGGTAATCTTTGATTTCTTGGTCTCGACGGCGGAGCTGGTTGCGATAGCGTTCAGATTCCGCTACGATGATGTGAGCCACACTTTTTGAGATCATGGAGTGAACCTACCGCATTGCTCTTGGTATTGTTTCTGTAAGCTTTGGTAAGACGAACGCGCGTTCTCCAAACTTTTCTCCAGCTTTGCGATTTCAGACTCCAGTGCTGCAATCTGGGTTGAGTTGGTTCGCTGAATGACATCCATCAGACATCGTCCACCCACTTCATGTATTACGTACCTCCTTTGTTCGGAGCTCCTTCTCCTCCCGCTTGGTGGAGGTGAGTTCACTCTTGAGTTCTTCCAAGCGCCCCTGCATCTCATCCAAGTCCATGTCGTGCTCATTCAGCCTGTTCTCAAGTGTCCTCTCAGCCTCAATCAGCTTCCGCCCAAGCTCTGCGTTGGCCTTCTGCAATGCTTCCAGCCGCTCTGTGTGTTCAAGAGACACAGTTGACGACGTTGCTGACCGGTCCGTAACTAAGCCTAAGGACGACCCGTGCTCGCCATCAGAGTCCGAGTCAGATGCTGAGCGTGGCATGGGCAACGAGGAAAGTTGGCGCGCAAAGCTGTCGCCTTTCTGTGGGTAATCAAAGGACGAGTCCATGTCAGGTGAATGCTCTCCCGAAGAGAGGTGATCCCTGTCTGGAGACAAGTAGTGGATCCCAATGCTAGTGAAGGGCTGCGACTGTGTACGGGAGTGCGGCCGCGCGAAAGGCGAAGAGCCCGTCGAGTTAGGGGAGAATAGTCCTATGGAAATGCTCGAAGGACTCGTTGGATTTGACGGCGTGCGCGTTCGACCAAACACACTGGGACTGGAGGAGAAAGACGACTAATTACAGTTAAGTTCAACAGGTGAATATACGTAGAAGGAGTTGCGCACTTCTGAGTCACTAAGAGCAGGCTGAGATCCGCCATCAATGCTTTTGCGTCTGCTGGCAGGCACAGGACGCTTTGACCAGCTTGAAGGGGGCTGTACGTCCAACGGGGTTGTTCGCTGTCGTCGCGACGTATCAAAGGCAGAGCTAGTCGCCGTATTGGGCGTCTTGGGCGGCACAGACGGTGGCCGACTTGTGACGCGTGAAGTTCCTACTGAGCCTCCGCTACGTGATCGCGAGTGGTTGGTATTGGGAGAAAAAGGATTGCGCCCCCGATCATCAGGCAACGTTACATCCTCTTCCAATGGCGAATCATTTGGGCTGTCTCGTGGACTGTGCCTGGCCCTCTCTGCGACGAGTTGGAGCAGAATCTGAGGTGTAACTTCAATTCCGGGACTGCTCGCGAGGATTTCCTTGAGCCCGTCCATCTCGCGATCGTTGAGCAGGTCGACGCCATTATACGAGTCTGAAAATGCACTGAGTACATCTGGGAGTGCGTCTGATGGTATCGCTGGTTCTCCTGATTGGACTGTACGCGAATCTGGGTGTCTGTTAAATATGTCGTAGAGTTCTTGTTCGATGTCTGATACTGATTGCCTGCTACGTTCGAAGTTCGACTGTAAGCAGGTTTCGGGGTCAGAAATGAACTTCTTCGCGCAGAAAACACGTACCATGATGAGTAGATGATGAGAAAAGGGAAATATGGGTTTGTACAATGCACTTACTTTCCACTACTTCAATGAAATTGCTCAAGCATGCTTTGGCTGCCACAGTAACCAAACATGACTTTGATCGTCCACAACACTTGCCAAATTCGGTCGTCCAACAAATGAACAATACCACGTGACTGACAAAGCACAAAGACCTCAAGTTGACAACGTTGACCAGTGGCTCTACTAAATAGCTTTGACAAAATGCAAGCATCTACGTTTCTGGTATCACATCTAACCTCTCTACGCTTGTCCTCTCTCCTTCAATAATACATCTCTGAGGCGTTTCAGCGCTTCATTCACTTGTTCTTCCGTACACAAAGAGAACGAGGCCCTCACAAATGATGTCTTACGTCCGTTGGGAAGGAAGACCGTGCCAGGGAGTGCGAGCACACCGTTCTCATATGCCTTGGTTCGTATAAGGTCTTCCGAGTCACCCTCATCTACGCCAGGTGTATGATTTGGCGAGAGAAGCAGCTTGAACCTATTGTAATGTCATTTTTAACATATCACCTCGATCAGCGTCGAACAGAGGCACAGACCAGAAAAACATGCCCGCTTCAGGGGTGCACCATTCTGCAAGTCCACTGAGGTGCACATTAAGAGCAGACTCGAACACGTCGCGTTTCTTGCGGTAGAACTCGGCAACGGCCTGCGTATGGGCGAAGAAATTGGCGTAACCCCATTCCTCAACCAGTGCGAGGGTGATCGCCTGAATGAGTGATGAGGATTGCAGATTGGCCGATGCAGTCTGATTGAATGTAAGGTACACAGCACATGCAAGCATATCTTGTACGTACATGCAAGTCTATAGCGTCAATAATAGGCTTCGGGCCTGACGCAAAGCCCATGCGTATGCCTGCGGAAAGAATCTTGGAGAAGCTGTCGAACCGGATGACTCGGCCGACCTCAGGCTCGTCAAGTTCCAGCTGGAAGTATGACGGCGGCCGAGCGGCTTTTCCAAAGTACAGGTAGAAGTAGGGATCATCTGTGGATAAAGGGACGATTCAATCTACTGCACCAAAAAAAAGAAATGTGGCACACCTTCGAGAATCAAGAAGTTGTGTTCGCGTGCAAGTTGCAATACTTCTTTGCGGCGCTCAACAGTTGCGGTCATACCGGTGGGGTTGCAGCCGTACTGCAATATGGTTATTTCCATCCACAGATTGAACAAATATAACTTACGGGCACCGTATAAAATACCTTCGGCCTCGGCTTTCCGATAGGCCAATTCTCCAAAATATCGCGCAGCGAATGAGAGCACACCCCATTCGCATCTGTTTCTATCTCTGAAAATTACTGAGCATGAGAAGATTAAAACCAAAACATGACCGACCGATCTGCTCGCAGTACAG